TTTTCTGCAATTTATATTGTCCATTGATTGGTGTGCCTGTTGATTTTTTAAATATTTTTTGCTTTTTTAAACGTGATGATGTTCCTATAACAACCGGGTGTTTATAGTTTTCCCATATCTTAGATGTCTTGGAAACCATCCAGCAGGGAGCCCCATATTTTTCAAGTTTCAACAATTCTGTTTTTGATACAGCTCATCAGGGCCGGAACATTGCACATTTGAGCTAAAACATTTTATCATCACCGTCCTTAACTTTATAACTAAAAATTGAAGTCCTCTAACTAAATAAATATGTACAGACAAAGTTTAATTCAGGAATGGCTTGTGGAACACTTAAGGAACACACAAGTTACAAAGGAAACTATTTCTCATGTTCCAAAGGACAGTAAAGGAAGCGCTTTGCGGAGACCTGGAGAGCGCTTCCCATTCAAACGTTTTGAAGGTTTTAGTTCCTAAGAAAAGTAGAAGTGTTAATTTATAAACATTCCCCCACCCTCCTCAATCCAGAGTCGATCAGCCACATCACCGTGTAAACGGTGCAGTGGGTTGGTGTGACGATGGACATCACACAAATGCCTCGTGAATAACGTGTACTTTGCGAAAATGAGGTTCCCCTGGAGGTTACCGGTTCCCAAATTTTCTTTCAGAAAAGAATAATAAAAGGTGGGTGCGCGCACGCGTCCGGAGACCGCATGTCCCACGGCATAGTCACAGAATTTCTCCTGAACAGTTGCCGCACTGTTGAGAATGCCGGACATATAATGGCATGGAATTACGGATTATCTTTACTTTTCATGGCAATGCACGGTTAAAGTTACCGTCAGAAACATAGGCAGCCTCGTAAATCCTTTTCGTAAAGGTGTGGTAACTCTTTGCAAAGAATGATGTCATTCTGAGGAACGCACGGATAGCTGCTCCAAACTCACGACCATCTTTAAATGTTATCTCAAAAAAATATATTTTTTTTTGCTATCACAAGAAACGCAATTAAACTGAGATTAATCTAAAATTGAGTATAAGAAGAAACAAAATACAAAACATTCATCGAAGAACATATTCCAACCCCCGGTTACATGAAGTGCCTGCATACCGACGATCCCATGCCTGATGTTACGTCACGCGAAACGGCAGGATGTCAGCCATTGACACTGGCGAAATTCGGGGTGCTGTTTCGTACAAACGCTCATGACTAGGTTAATCAATATCCGGACTTTAGTATCAAAATAAAAATGATGTTTGTGTATATGAATGCTCCCTAGACCGAGACTTGTACCCGCTACTGAAAAAAGTAACCGATTACAATTACAATTACAGCCTCAAAAAGTAATCGAAAAATTACTCTAAAGTAATCGATTACTTCCCACGTTACTATTCATTCAACTTTTTTTTGTCACGTAGCATAATCCTTGGGGTCTCGCGCTCAGTTGTTTCGACAAAAAAGAAGAAAGAAAGCCTTGATTACTTTTGCTTAGAGCTATGTTACAGTGAACTAGAATGAAGGGGCAGTGGAAAAAGCGTCGGGGGCGCCCCATCGGCCGTGTGGAGCCAGAAGTGTAGACTGCCGCGAGTGGCGCTGTTGTCGAAATCCGAAGGACATGGCTACTGTAACATGGTGTATGGAGTCGCGTACGTTCTCAGATGGTTTCTGCGCTGTCTATGGTCATTTTCACAATTTGTTTTCATGAATGTAAAGTGCTTGGCCTTGTGATTACATAGGATCGAGTCTTGTCGCTAAGCAATGAAAACAAAGAGAAAGGAGACGGATGGGCACCGTTACGCGCTAGCATGCAAGACTGGTTACCCCTTGTTTTACTACATTGCCCAAGTAAGCTTCAAACAGCAATGCATAGGCGTCGAAAATCCCATAAAGCATACATAGCCCACGCTAATGAACCGCTAAGATAAAAAAACAGCTACTTTTGGCGCGAACTTGCTGGAAGGAGTGTCCCGGAATCGAGCACCAGCGCTACTTGGTAGGTTCTACACGAAGCACCTCACCTGGAGGCCGGCTATTTTTCCACTGCTCCGATTCTAGTTCACTGTAGCTGAGTGAGTGACGCCAACACACCCAATTCCCCTCGTGAAAAAAAAATGAAATAAAATAAAAGGATTGCTATGTAAATACATTACTCACAAGAGGCTGGATAAGGTCATTTTTTTATACCAACGTAGTCTCCGGTGTGCCCCAAAATATTTAACCCAGGAAACGAAGCAAAGAGATGTGGCCTACTAACCCTGAAGGTCCCGTGCTTAGTCGCTTTGAGAAAGAAAAACAAATTGTCCGTTGCCCAGAGCTGAGTGACTTCAGCAGATCTAACCCCCCTCCCCCACCAAAAAAAAATAGGAAATAGAAAAATTGTAATGGGTAATTTTGTAATCAATTACAGCAAAAACGTAATACAAGTACAAGAATCGTTACTCCTTAAAGGAAGTAATTGAAGCGTTACAAAAGTACACGAAAATGTAATCGATTACAAGTAATCCATTACTTGTAACGTGTTACGTACAAGTCTGCTTAGACCTAACGAGCGAAAAAACACAAGTACTTCCGGTTTAGACCGGACAATCCCTTTAAACAAGTCTGATGATGATGATTTCCTGCCCTGTTCCTCGCGCCACCGCGCGGCGGAAAGAACCTCGAGCCATTTTTAACACCAAATGTGTTTTATGCAGCTATATGGATGGCACGTAGCCGTATCCGTTTAGGCGCCATGCAACGGAAGTCGGCAGGCCGACTGCCAGCCGAACGCTGACACAGCGGTCAACTCATCACTATTGGAAACCGGTGCCAGCCGACCCTCTTCTAAGCGCCTTTGTGTTACCTCCGGCCGGGGTAAAGCATCACGTGATCAGACATATACAGCGGCGCTCTACACCGTAAAAAAGAACTGCACCGCATTTCCTCTTCCGCTAAGCCCTCCGCAACGGAGACGCCGCTACTGCCCCTGCGCGCCGATGGCCTTGACTTGTAGAGTTCAGGGTACCGTAGCGGGTTGCGGAGACCGCTGCGGGGCGGCGAACACGATCTACGAAAACTCCCTAATAACGCAAAAGTGACGTGCGTTACTTTTTATCGGTAACGGTACCGGTAACGCTTTTTTTTTTTTAAGTATTGCAAAACCCTTAATATTATCAGCCCCTAAATTTTGCGAATTGAAAAATTTGCGAGATTTAAGGGCACGCGAAAATTGTGTCAATGCAGGCATCTGGAATTCGTGAAATTTATTGCCCGTGATTATGTCCTCTGTGACAGTTTCGCAAACAATAGGGGCAGCGAAAATGAAGTATTCTACAGTTACGTAAGTCGGTAATGCGTCCCTTTACCTTGCAAGTAACCAGTAACGTTTTTCGTTACTTTCTTTTTCGGTAACGCCTACAACACTGGCACCCAGTAGTTGGGCTAGCGATTTGAAGCATTTGGACCGCGTTGAGTCTGCGGACCTCCCCGGACCAGAGAAAAACGACACAGAACGAGTTTACAATATCAATGTACTGGGCCATGCAGGTCCGCGAACCTATTTTATGTTTGCTCACGTCATACACAACATTCCTCAGGCCCGCGGACGTTTTCTGCGGACACGTTCGTTTTGTCCGCGGACACGTCTCTTTTGTCCCCGGACACGTTGTTGCGTTTTGCCTGTCATTTTTGCCTGAAAAATGGCGCATTTAAATCCCCAGGAAAGGTGACGACACGGATTTCGTAGGAACTTGTCCGCAAATGCGTTCGCCGTGCGAATACAAATTTAATCTCCACCCAGAGCAATGGCTAACCATTCAGACCCGATGCCAATTCTTCAGAGCTTTCTAATATCTGATTCAAAAGTTGTTTGTAATTATTTGAAAGTTTCAATGCGAGAAAGGAGGCCGGTTTTCGGCAGCAGACGCCATTCATTTCAAGAGTTACAAGATTATTATGATTAATCATATCCTATTGAAAGCCTTGTTTAACAATATTATTTGTACCCCTGTCAAATTTGCGTGGATTTGGCTTGGCGTTTTGCGAAAATTATTAAACACTCGTAGGCATAGTTTTTCTAACTACCACGTCACATATATACGTGCTGTATTTTAATTGACTTAGCTCGCGGTGTATACATTCTGGTGTGCAGGCGTCAATAGTAAAGCAAGACGGAACTAAGCATTTATTTGACCCGTGGATTTCATGTGTTTCGGGCCGAGCCTTCAACCGAATAAGCCAAATGCATGTGTTAAGCGCGTGCTTAAGAAAAAAAAAAAAGACTGAAACCAGTTTTTTATAAATTTTTTTTTATTTATTTTATATAGTTAAAAAGTTCCCGTTTCTTCAGAATAATACTACATGTCAACATCCCTATTGCGTATTAGGTGAAAGTTGAACATATCGGACAAGAAAAAAGATGTCTGGCAATAAATTACGAGCATGATATAACTAATAGTCACTCAATAACCATTAAAACAACGTGTATGATTAAGAATAATTTACACAATAAAAAAAGTCTGCGAAATTTGAAACGAAGATAAATTATAACAACATTGATGACTGAAAGGTACTAAATCATTTCGACTTTTTTTTTATCAACAATGAACGTTTTTTTTTTTTTTTTTTTAATTGTGTTTGTGACGCACTTAGTATCGGGAGCTCCAGAGTACATGCTGTACGATTGTTCATTTTCTGCGTTCGGCGGCACTGAAGTTGCAAGATAGCTCCATCGCGATGCGAGAAGATGGTACCGAATTAGTACAGCGTGTACAGTGTTCACCAAAATTTTACGGAGCCCGTGAACTGTGTGTTTCCTCGAGGCCGCGCTATTTTAGTGGAAGCGGAGCAATGGCTTCTGAGAGTAGCAGTTTGGGATGCGTTGTTGAGTGACGAGTTACAAAGCCGTTGCTCGGCTGCCACCAGAATATCGCACACCTTGCTGTTACGTATGAACCCCTTGCATGTTCCGTATAAGTTTGCTGAGCCTTGTACGCATAAGGGCGTTGGTGAAATACCTCACGGTGTGTCTCCTACCCAACAGACACTGCACCGCACTGGAGGAACTGGAGGTTTGCCACATCAACTGGATCCGAAACTTCGACGGCCGGCAGCTTGCACCTCTGACGCGTTTGCAGACCTTCAAGCTGTCCCTGACGTTGTATCCCTTCATCAAATCGCCCGTTCCTGGCTTAATCCTTACCGCGTTCCGCACAAAATTGAAACGCATCGAGCTGGAAAAGTGTCACCTCAGCGACTACCAGTTTGACCTGCTTCTCAACACCGGGAGACTGGATGACCTCGTGGTGATGCGCTTGTCCAGCGTGTGCTGCTTGTCTATTCACAGTCTCAGGAGGCTAATGGCGAGACGTGGTGGTGCTTTCAAACTTCTGCACGTGTTCTTGTGCGGACGCATTAGTGAGGAAGACATCGACGGCCTTCGTGGCATGATCCGAGATCTCAACTTGGACGTCACTGTTCTCACCGACTATCTTGAGTTTAGTTTTTTCTGATGTATCATGACGCTTGTAGACTTAACGATGTCAAGGTAATTGATGTCGTCGTATGCGGAAAAAAGTGTGCTGTTTAAATGTCCTTTAATCGCGTAATATTTTAGTCAACGACAACCGGTACATTTTTATGAAATGAGCCGCGCAGAAAAATAATGCTAAAAAAGTTTTAAAAGTACCTTGAAACAATAGCGATTAGTGTAAACCTAGAGTGAAAAAACTATTCGCCAACGGGGGAAGTACAATGTCTATTGGACCGTAATAAATATGTGCCAACCAATGGTAGTCATTTGTGGACCTCAAATAACGTATAGATATGTTACACTGTGAATTCATTTTTGTTAACGAAGGTGTCTAAAAGTGCTTATCTGTTTCTCTGTTTGTATTTCTATCGATCTCGGTGTATCTTAGAACTCCGTTTTCTTCACAAATCGATCATTCAGATATAGGAACAAAGATGGCTAATGAAATTGCATTAAATACATGTCTTTTCTTCGGTAATGAAGATATGTAATCCCGAGTAAGACACTTGAGCAGTGACCGTACAATCGCAAAGCAATTCTAAAAAAAAACAAAATTGTAATCGTATGTTTCCTATTAAATGAACTCCGCGCGGTAGTTCCATAACTTACATTTTTTGGTTATCTTCAATACGTACCCTTCGCAAGCACGAGACGTTTACAAAATATAAAGGCACCGAAAGCACCAGGGACAACGAGAACCAAGACGTAGTGAGAACACAAGAAGTATTCACAACTGTATATTTGTCAAGAAGAGGTATAATACTCTAGTTACACTGCTACCTTTATCCGTGTCACTAACGTTCCACAAACTGCAACTATTTGGAGCTAGACGGCAGACCAAACTACACTTAGCCCGCTCACCATAATTTGCGTAAATTGAGCGTGGCAACCTATATTTTGGCTCGCGAACTGACAAGATGGCGGCGCTCGAGTGATCAGCGTTCAGCGCGGGGCCACCCAAGGCGACTTCCTAAAGGCATGTCAAGGGACCTGTTGAATGCACACAGGGTCTGACGCGTATTGTGAGAAATCATACATCCGCTCTGCCGCAAGGATGCCGTGCTCCTCCCCCCCTTATGTCGAAGGAGAATATGCTCGCCAAAACAATTCCTGCAGAAGCTGGGAAATCTTTGCAAGTATATCCGTAAGCATAAAATGGCTGACTAAAGTATGCCACACTATTCTTGAGATGCGATAACTTGTATCGAGGGACAGCTTTGTGCTACATTCCGCGTGAGCGTCAATGACGCAGCTTCGAGGCTGCGGTTATCGAAGCGATGAAATTTCAAAAGTATGTTGGAACTGTAGCCTACAGTTCCAACATACTTTGAAAGAAGAGGGGGTATGTTGGAACTGTAGCTGCAGTATCCAGCGCGTCATCGCCCCTCTTCCGACAGCCTGCAGCAGTAGTGATTTTTTTAAAGCGCTTGTTTAGAAATATTTGCATAGAGCACCTGCCTCATGGTGTCGGTAGGATGTAGAAAATTATCTAGCGGCGCGTGACCTCTGCTGCCTATAATGATGCATGTCAGGCAACTACCGAAGAGCAGTTTGTAAATTTATTGAGCTGTGATAAAATGGTGTTCTAACATTATTTTTGACGACCGTGCCTATAATTTTAAAACAAAACTTCACTAAGGTGATAACCAGTTAATTTCCTTCGATGCATTAACTGAGGACAGCCAGTTAGTTTACAACAGCGGCAAACTTCGGCTCGTTATGACGGCAGTTAAAGGGGCCCTGCAATGACTTTTTTACTGCTTTTTACTTTGCACGGAACCTGAGCAGACTGAACGTAGTAACTTAATAGGAAGTTTTAGAATAACGTACGCAATTTTAGCGTAGGCTAGCGCTAAATTTATTGCTTGCATTACCGCACGCGACACGAGAGAGTTTTAGAATAGCGTTTCTCCGTCACGGAGAAACGCTATTGTACGAAAAGCTAGCCCAAGCATCTCGCGCTTGCAACGCCACCAAGATACAGTCACAATTTTTATTTCACACACGAAATTGAACGAAATGCTGTAAATTTATAAAAAAACAAGTTTTTTTGTCCAGGGTGCGATTTTAGATTTGTTTAAACATGATAATGATACGCGAGCGCCGAGCGGTTGACCGGTCGTGTCCGCTTGAGTCGCCTCGGCAAGAGAGGTCTCGTGTACTGGCCTTCGCACATCGTACACTCGCCGAGAAATGTTCGCGCGTCACAAGCATCAAGTTGCCCGTGACCGTTGCCAAACAAAGTACAATGTCGTCCCGTATTGAAAATACAAGTTGCGAGGGTGCCGCCGACGTCGCACTCACGACGCCGCCAAAGCAGCCGCCGACATAATCCTGGGAGCCGCCATTTTTTTTAACTCCGTTCGTCTTGGCTTTAGCCAACTCATCACGAATCCTCCTTGGAGAAGCGCAAAGACTCCTTGCGTACGCACGCTATTCCCGAGAAATAGCGCAAGCTAAAATTGCGCACGCAAAGCGCAAAACCTGGTTAGCGTTCGGAGCATGCGCAGTGCGACGACGCTATTCTTTGCGTACGCAAATCTTTAACGTGCGCTAAACCTCCCTAATGGAACCTTTCGTTTTTCGAATTTCGCTTTATATTAAAAGTTATAGCAAATTAAAATTACAAAAACAAGCAAAATATAACCTCCTTCCTGACGTCCTTGGTTGCTCGAGTGGCCGTGAACTAGAGGAGGGGTAGTGAGGCATGCGAGCGCTCACGGCTGCCGCACTCCGTGTCTACGGCGCGAGAGGGCGCCACTAAAGCACGCTCTGGATAGGCTGCATGCAGCGGGCAGTCAGGGCAGCTCACATTGCATTTGCTGCGTGATTAAACACTAATTCGGCATGAGACTTCATTGGCCACAAACTGCAGCAAACGCGGGGTAAAGGTCAGTTCAGAATGGGAGGCACTTCGCGCTGCCATACCGCGAAACGGACAAACTGCCAGACATTTGGTTGGTAAAAACTTTACTGAGTGCCTGCAGAGCTTTCGCTGACCGGGCCTAAGTCACCCGCTTGGGGGCGTTGCCGCTGGTCCTCTTCGCCCGTTTAGGGGCGTCGAAGTCCTGCCGCTTCGCCGCCTCACAGGCCTGCTGGACGGCCCAGAATTGATCGTCGAGGCTGGGGCTGTACAGGGCAGCGGACAGCCGCGGCGGGAGGGTTCCGGAGTTAGCACCATGCGGGTCTTTGGTACAGTCCCAGAGCATGTGGGTTAAAGTTGCTACATCTTTGCGACAGACCTTACACGTGTTCGTCGTGTATATTTCGGGAAACATTCTGTGATACTGTGCTGGGTTAGGGTACGTGCGCGTCTGCAGTTGTCTGAGTGCGACCGCCTGTGCCCCGTCCAGCTTGTCACTGGAAGGAGGGAGTGTCCGTCGGGCCAGGCGGAAGGCCTTGGTGATTTCGTTGTAGCTCGTCATGCGGTCCTTGCTGCTGTACCACGGACGACCGTCCCCGACGCGGTTTGTTAGCTCGCGCGCCTTGGCGTGTGCCGTCTCGTTGCCGTTACGATGCTCCTCGGAGACTTCCCCCATGTGTGCGGGGAACCAAAGGAGTCGGGTTGGGGGTTCTGGTTCTCGGTGGACTTGACGTTGGCTTATGATTCGGGCTGCTCGTAGCGATATCCGTCCTTTGGCGAAGTTCCTGATCACTTGTCTCGAGTCACAGAGGACTGTTTTGGACGCCGGGTCCGTAAGGGCGAGGGCGGCTGCTATTTCCTCCGCTTCTTCGGCGCGTTCGCATGCCACGCTTGCTGATATCTTTGTATCCCCGTTTGAATCGACGACCGTCACGGCAAATCGGGAGCCTCTCTTGTACTCGGCGGCGTCCACGAATCGCGTATCCACATTGTTGCTGTGGGCATTGAGGAGAGCCTTGGCTCGGGCCTCTCTTCTGCCTCGGTTGTACTCCGGGTGAACGTTTCTGGGGATTCATTCGACTCTTATTGTCTGCCGGATCGCGTTTGGGATAGTGACTTTGTGGCCCTGCTGTGTGTGGTATCCGATGCCGAGGTTCTCGAGGATGCGGCGGCCGGCGTTCGTGCCGGACAACCTTTCCAGTTGCGAGGTGCGCTGTGCCTCTGCGATTTTGCTCAGCGTGTTGTGGATGCCCACCTGGAACAGGCGGTCCGTGCCTGTGGATTCCGGCTGGCCAAAGGCGATCTTGTAAACCCTGCGTATGAGGACGTTGATCTTGTCTTCTTCTTTTCTGTACCAGTTGTGAAAGGCCGCAACGTAAGCGATATGGCAGACGACGAACGAGTGGATGAGTCGCGTGAGGTTCTCCTCCCGCATTCCGCTCCTTCTGTTGGTGATTCTCTTGAGGAGTCTCGTGGCGTTGGACGTCTTGTGTACCAGTCTGGTGATGGTTCCGCCGTTGTGGCCCGTGGCTTCGATTATCATGCCGAGGACTCTGATTTTCGGGACTGTCGAGATGTTCGTGCCATCGCTCGTGCGTAGACTGATTTCCTCACAGTTTCTTCGGGCTGTAGGTTTACCCCGTTGTGCGGGGCGGTAGAGCAGGAGTTCTGACTTATTGGGCGAGCACCGCAGGCCCGTGCCTTGAAGATGGGCCTTTATCGCGTCAATTGCTGACTGCAGCGTGGACTCGATGTGACCGTCGCTGCCTCTGTGCACCCAGATTGTGATGTCATCAGCGTATATGGTGTGCCGGACGTCTTCGATGTCTTGCAGCTTCTCTGCCCCCCCGATCATGACCAGGTTGAAGAGTGTGGGTGAGATGACCGAGCCCTGCGGGTGCCGGTGCTGCCCAGCGTTTGCTCTTCCAGCTGGAGATCTCCCGCCACTAGCACGGCGCTCCTGTCCGTCAGGAAGTCCTTCACGTAGTTGTAAGTGCGCAGGCCGAGGTTTCGTTGTGAAATTTGTTGCAGGATCGCCGAGTGAGCGACCTTGTCGAAAGCGCTTTCTAGGTCGAGTCCGAGAATCGCCCTGGTTCCCCTGGTCCTGTTATCCAGCACTTGGCGTTTTAATTGCAACATGACGTCTTGCGTGCCAAGGTGTTGGCGGAAGCCTATGAGGGACGGTGGGTAGATCCCTTTCTGTTCCAGGTACACTTGCCAACGGTTGAGCAGTGCGTGCTCCATGACTTTACCGACGCACGATGTCAGCGATATGGGGCGGAGGTTGTCGAGGCTCGGTGGTTTGCCGGGTTTTGGTATTAAGATCATCTTCGCGGACTTCCACTGGCGCGGGAGGCTGCCTCGCCGCCAGCAGGCGTTGATGTAGTCTGTCAGCTGTTCCACCGAGCGGTCATCGAGATTTTTCAGGGCGCGGTTCGACACCCCGTCGGGGCCCTGTGCCGACCTGCTGTTGAGTTCGTGCAGTGCTGTTCTGATCTCTTCCACGCTGAAGTCTCCGTCTAATTCTTCATTGGGCTCGCCTTTGTATGGGCCGTGCTGCGCGGTCGGGGTCTCCGGCAGGTATTTCGCTCGCAGGCGGGCAGCCACCGCATCTTTCCCGCGTTCCCCGATCTCCTTGTGTATCAGGCGTGCGAGACGGTCCCTCTGGTGAGACTTGGTGTTTGTTGCGTCCAGCAGATGCTTTAGTAGGCTCCACGCTTTGCCATTGTGTAGTTGGCCGTCCACCGCGTTGCACATCTCATCCCACTGCTGGCGGTTGAGCGTGCGGCAGTGCTCCTCGATGCTGCGGTTGAGCTCCGCAACCTTTTTCCTGAGTCTCCGGTTGAGTCTCTGTTTCGTCCATCTGGCCAGGATCGAATTCTTCGCCTCTATGAGGTGCCCCAGGCGGCTGTCCATCTTGTCGGTGTCGACGTCGGTCTCGATCGTCTTGGTCGACGCTTTGGCGTCCTCGACTAACTCTCGGGACCACGCTTCGATGTCCGTGATCTCTTCTGCTTCGTTTAGTTGTTGTCGGTCGCGTTCCTTTCTAAAGTCCTCCCAATCCGTCCACGTAAAGGTGCGCTTGCTGCCTTGCATTTTGTCCGGTGTTGGGACGTGTATCTCGATGATCGCGTCGTCGCTGCCCAGGTCGACCGTCGTATTGTTCCACGTGACGTTCGCCGTCCCCGCGTTTCTGACGAACGTCAGATCCGGGGTCGTGTCCCTGGTGGCCGAGTTGCCCAGTCTCGTCGGGTGCGCCGGGTCTGTGATGAGCGCGAAGTCTAGCTCCTGCGTGTCTTGTGCGAGGTTTCTCCCCTTGACCGTGCTGTAACCGTAACCCCACGCTGCCTCTGCCGCGTTAAAGTCGCCCCCCACGATCAGCGTCTGGGACCCGGCGGTCTTGAGTGCCTTCTGGAGCAGCGCCCGGAACCTCTGGCGGCAATTGGACGGTTTGCTGTACACATTTAGAACGAATATGCTCTGCTTCCTGTGTTTGGTCGGTATGAGTTCCACGAGCGAGTGTTCTACTTGAACGCCGCCGAGTTCGTGGTCAACGAACGTAAGACCCTTCCTGACGAGCGTGCATAGTCCACTTTCCTCTATCGTGCAGACGTGTTCCCTATAGCCCATTAGGATAGGAGCGTCCGTGAGCGTTTCTTGGAGTAAAATCACGTCTGGTTTGCGTGCTGCGTGCCTGATGTGTTGTTGCAGGACTGCCTTCTTGCTGGCGAAGCCGCGGCAGTTCCACTGCCATATAATTATCCCTGAATTACCGCTGGCCATGTTGATTCGGGTGAGAAGTTGTCCGGCTGCCCTTGGTGGCGGCTCGGTCCCTGGCTGTTGTTCAGAGGTGCTTGTCTGTTTTGCGCGAAAACAGGGCGGCTCATGGTCATCTGCACGTTTCTCTCCAGGTAGGTTGTCCTGCTTGCTAGTTCGGCAACCGTTGCGCGTAGGGCTTCGATGGAGCTCTGCATGCTGCAGAGCATGCTCTTGATGTCCCTAAACTCCGCCTGTACCTGGCCCTCTGGGCCTCCCTCCTGTTGTGGCTCTATGGCCCGTTTCTTCGGGGCCGGTGCGTCCGCGATTGGTGCGTTGGCAGGTGCCGGGGGCTGTTCGTTCTGTTTCGGTTGGTCCGCCGCGGCGCGTTCGCGTCGGAGCTCGCGCATTTCCTGCATTAACTTTTGTACCAGTTCGGGCATAACCGCGTTCTCTTTCCTCAGCGCTTCTACGACGCCGTGATCAATAGCCTGAGTTTGCTCTGGGGCTTTAGGTGCCCTACCGGTCCCCCGTGCGGCGCCCCAGACGGTGTTCGCCCAGCGCACCTTGTCTTCGGGAGGCGATGTCTTGGAGCCCGACCGCGAGGCAGCGCTGCTGTGCTTCCTACTCCCGCTGTGGGAAAGGGACCGGTCACGTGAGGGCGACCGGGATTTGGCCGAACCCTGGCGGAGGGGCGGGAAGTCTTGCTGCGACAGCTGGCCGTTGGCTTTGTGGCGTTCCCATTGTCTCTTGCGCACCACGTACGGGGTCTTGTATCTCGCTCGGCAAACCTTGTCGGCGGTCAGGTGAGCTCCGCCGCACAGGCTGCACTTGGGGGTACACTGGTGGTCCGGTTCCGGGATAGAGAGGCCACAGCCCAGGCAGATGCGGTTGGTGGGGTTTGGACAGACGTCCTTTCGGTGGCCGAGGCGACCGCACTGGTAGCAGACGTCAATTTGCTTACGGTACAGTGAGCAGGGTGCAAGCGTTGCGCCGTACCTAACGTAGTTGGGCACCTTGAGTCCGTCGAACGCGACGATCACCGTGGTCGTGTTGCCGATGCACTTGGCCGCCAGGGCTAGTGGATTTCTCGGATTGACAATCTTCTCGTCCAACTCTCGGGGTCCCTCCTCGACGGGGATACTGCGGATCACTCCCTTGTTAGTGTTATGAGGTGCCGTCTCATTAGCGTTGACTTCGTGCTGCTTGCCTTGGATGTATATCTGCCTTATCTTGGTGTAGCGGTCCGCATTCGCTCGCTTCGATGTACTGATGACAACGATGTTCTGCTCGGGGTTCGGGCATACCGTGTCTTCCATGCTGTCCTCACCCGTTATTCCGGCGGCAGCGAAGATGGCGGCTGTGACCGTCGGGGCGCCGACTCTGGCGATGTCGAGGCCGCCCTGCGGCCGCACCACAATCTTGGTTTCTTCCTTCGGTAGCAGGGGCATGCGGCCTGCCTTGATGATTTGTCCCTTGACGTTCTTGAGTTTCGTAGCTTTCCGGTCGGTGCCGGGCCTGTTCGGTCTTGCGTCGACTACGGGTGCCGAGTCCGTCGCGCGGTGGCGGGGTCTCGACTGGCGCTCTCCTGCGATCTTCCATCCGGATTCCGCGGTGATTTCTTCGGGGGAAATATCTTCCCACATCACTTGCACGTTCATTCTTGGGTCGAAATTGTCGTCGCGTGCCGCGTCGTTGGAGAGAGTCCGCATGCGTAGCGCCCGCCCGTCGGCGGAGCGCAGCGGCTGTGTCGAGTAGGACTAGCGATCGGCGAACAACCCTAGGCTCAGCTCGGCGGCGGCGTGGTCGGAGCACGAAAGTTCAATAAAATCGTGAAGAAAGGTGGTTCACCTCGAAATCGGGTATCCGTCCATTCCTCTCGACTTCACGAATCCGTTGGTGATAAAGTTTCGGTGGCACAAGGTAGAAATCGCTGCGAAATTATTCGATGAAGACGGAGCCGGAGTAAACGCGTCCGCTCACCGCGGCGACCGCAGCGCCAAGCTGCTCGCCGAAGGCCTTCGGAACGCTCGGAGCCGGTCGGATCCTCCAGTCCCTACAACCGCAGCGCCGCCGCGTACATCCGGTACCTTTCCGTGTCGGCGCCTGATCCCACTACTCCTTTCTAGTATGCGCCGCCTTTTCCACCACTTGGTAGCGGGTATGTCGACGGGTCATTTCTTGTTTCCGTACTTTATTCGCGTCTCCAGCTCGACGCTCGCGCTCCCGCGGCGGAAACTGGAAGCGCTCTAGTGAGGGTCCCCCGATTCTCCTGCTCAGCGGGCATGGCGGAACTGCTCGCGATCATGGCTCGCTAAATGTCATTTCCGAACGCAAACTACACTCTTCACTGTCCCAACGTGGTGCCGCAGCCGGTATGGGATTGTACCTTATTAGAGAGTTTTAATATTGCTTATAGACTCAAGCGCTGTGCCTTTGTATTAAGGTGGCGTGCTCCACGTTGCGCGCCCGCATCGTTGCCATGCTCGGATCCAATACCCCGATTTTGGGCTCCGCGCACGCGCAGCGTGGAGCACGCAAAGCTAACGCAAACACGCAGCGCTTTCTTTTATATGCAACATTAAAACTCACTACTGTTTCACCGGCTTCCAACGCCAGCGAAACGTGCTGCAGTGAGCATACGTGCAAGCAGGTAGGCGTTCCTTCGAACTGGAAAGGCTGAGATTGGCAAAACGACGGCGCGTAAAATTGGAAGTAACTAAATGCTATGAAAGATTAATAATTGAAATAAAAACACTTTTTTTTTTTTTTGGGGGGGGGGGGGGCGTAAAAGAGGGGGGGGGGGGTTTGGTCTGGAAACATATTAGTAGCGACTTCGGAAGTTTGGCCGATTATCAAAAGTCGCTACTTTGATTGTACCCTCAATCAATCTAATTTTACATGAATCTCTCACATTAGCTAGAATGTTTCCATGGATTTTAGACTATATTTATTTTATAACTTGGTACTTGAAAATTCTGCAATCGACACCTGCGATGATAATTAGCACCCGTTAGATTGTCATACTTGTTCGGCGTTTAAAATAAGATCATAAGCAACAAATTATTTTAGAGCTTGAAAAGTTTGGTATTGACATACCTTAATTTTGATATTTATATTATTATTATTACAAATCGCGGCAAAGTATGCCCCCAACGGACGTCACGATAACAAAAACACGCCATTTAACCATAACAGTCTTTCCAGAGAGGTATCATTATGTTTTTTTTTTTTTTTTTTAGCACGTGAAAACCTCTGACATCGTTATCAAGATAGACAAACAGTCAAAGACTGGATGCAATACAAACTCCTATACGCCCCGCGTTGCTTTAAACAACACGCGCACTTCAGCTGCCTTACTCGGATTCCGTCTTTGGATTTTTCTAGTGAGAACATCGTTTCTTAATTCATACATTCTGTGAACATTTTGTATAAATTGGATTTATTCTGTTATTCTTGTGCTGGGAATAATGTTAAAGCAATTAATAATCTAAGTACCCAAAAACCCATTAAAAGGCTTGCGATTCATTATTTCACATGATTATTATCTGAGCGAGAAAAGGCAACGAGAACCCATGCAAATATCAGCACTGATTTTTTCAATAAATAATAGTATCCTGTGCTACCTCTAAGGTGTATAAAAGACCCTGTCCTTAAAGGGACGAAAGTTTCCGCGAACAACTTCTTTAAATAAATAATCATGGTGTGAGACACATCTTGAGTTATGAACGGGTCTGAAATCAAGACCTGTACAGAGAAATTAAATCCAAAATAGAGGTTAGTTTCGGTTTCGCTCCAGGATTAAAACGCACCTTCTGGCGTAAATGCTAAGCTAAATACCGTTCTTCTTTTCAGAATAAAGAGGTGACCTGCGCTCATAACACCTTATCTTCCTCGTATCACCAGAAATAATTTGTGCCGCTCAGTGAAGACAGCACACTAGACGGGCTCAGCAGCGGCACGCATCTCCGACCCTCACTAAACCTCACTAAACGAGTGGCGCCACCTATAGTGAATTGGAGTCGCAAATTAACTGCGTTTCTTTCTTTTCTGATTTAAAATACTGAACAAAAACTACATTTAGACATAATTGAAACGGTTCGCGCCACTTATATTTTGTATTTTGACTAAAAAGAAGCTTTTAGCGGCTCTGACCAGTAGTAAGCCCAGGACCAAAGACGTCACATATCGCGCGCTTTCGGCACCGTGGGTCGCCCCCGTCGGTGGAAAGGGTTTCCGCGTCGTTCGGTTAAAATATGACGCACTGATATTTAGTTACTCTCTCCGTGCCCGCTGGCTTGCCCGAATTCCAAGAGACGTGGAAACCGCAAAAAAGGTAGACGCTTAAATATGATTGCAGGTCCCCTTTAAGGGTGGCCGTGTGGGTATTGCATAAGCCCCATCGGCCTGTCTCGACATCAGCATGCGGCTGCAAAACTTGCTTGATTTAATTGAGCTTTTTTTTCTCTTGTGTACAGCTTGTGGAAGCAGTGCCTATGGGCAGTTCCATGTCTGAGTTGACTCGATCTCACCGTGATGGCGTTGAAAGACTACACCCTAAAAAAACTCCGTTCTTTAAAGGTTCTTCGACATACCAAGAACCCTTCAAACTCGTGAAAGCGGTTCCGCCTCAAGCACTATCACCCCCTGGCGCACTACAGAGGCAACTAGGCAATGAAAGAACTTTTTCACAATAAGAATGGAGCTTAAAAGAGCCCCTTGAAGAGCCTCTAAGGGTTCTTTTATAACCAGATTTTTTTACAGTGCTGTGCGCGGACATTGATTATTCTAGATAGCGTTGCCCAGCCGCAAAAAGCGCCTTCTTGATGCCTTCACATCGCCTGCAGCAAGATGGCATTTGGGAGCACTGGACTGGAGGCAAAGAAATGGGCCGAACCGCATCTCAGGTGGTACGAATGTCCCATAAACGACCACCAAATATCCACGGAATGTGAGGACGTTCAGATGCGTCCCATAATTTTTGTGCACAATTCGCCCAATAAATATATCAAAACTTGCAGAAGTTATGCAGGATGTTTGTTTGTTTTTATTTTGAGCAAATTAATTAGGCAAAAACCGTGAAAAGTAGGTTAATGCGGTCTGAGCAGGTGAGTTGTACGGCCAGGAAGACATAATAAAAAGGATTATTGATCATAAAAAGTCAGATTATTAACCATAATTTTAATAACGTTTAATTGGTAAGAATGAACATATATTTTCAATTATTGAAACATTTTAAGCACGCAGGACGCCGGGAGTGCGCTAACGAAAGTTATACTCGCTGGTGGTGCGAAAATACGGACGAAACGATTATAAGTAATGGAAAGAAAATAAAACAAAGGGATGGACCATTTGTATTTTTCTTGCCAGCACGCTGTTCATTCCAAGTAAACAATAATCATCCGCGTTTTTCTGACCGCTAGCCGTGCGGCTGCTGCGCGAGTGGTAAATTTGGCGCACTCCCGCAGTAATCATGTGCTTCCTATCTTTTCGATGGTTTTAGATGACGTTCAGCGGGTTTCTAAACAGCACACACGCCAAATCAGAAAACGCTCATGGTACAGTGCAGAGTAAAACATAATCAAAGAAGAGGAAGTTTCACTCGTCTACGACAAGCTGGAAATCAACGATTCACTTTACGTCTGGAATGAACTAAAAAAATGAACGAATCAAATATTGTCAAGCTCGTAACTCTGTGAGGGATCGGGAAGGTAGGAGTACCACTGAGTTACAACTAGACAAAATTATTACCAGAGAAATCAGGCTCCTTAATCTGAACGTTCGAAATATTTAGCGCAAAACCTGAGAACTTGAACATCTGCTGTATCCCTATAACCCGCATGTACTTGTAATTACCGAAACTTGGCTTCATTTTCGAACTAAAAATTCCGAGGTTGTACCGCCCATATATTCGATAATACAGAAAAACCGAGAATCCGGGCGGTTGTGTGCTAGGTGGTTCATAATGACACTAGTGCAAACAACGCTCAAAAGTCAGGGACAGAGAAAAAGAAGAGCATACAGTACAAGCGCTTGTCCTGTGTGCATTTTTTTTTCTTTGTCTGTTTTTTTTTTTCCTCCCTGTTTGACCTTGTGTCACAAAAAACCAAGAGGAGGGGGGCATTGTGATGCCGATAAAGAAAAAGTTCGAGTTCTTGGCACACGGAATTAAATACAGTCAGTGTGGTGTAATCTGACATTTGGTGCGAATACGTTTCCAATAGACGCAATTAACCGGAAACCTTATGCTTTTGTGGCGGTCTCCGCTACATACCCGGAAGAGGGCGACTAGTTGCCCGCTGGCTCCGAGCAGCGAGCAACAGGCACGCGTGCGAGCCGAGAGCTGCACTCTTGGAAGGTCGGCGGGAAAGAAAACGTTGCGGGGGGAGACGGTGGGGAGGAAACAACAAAGATCTGTTTTAGGAGCAAGCTTCCCCCCGGGGAATGCTCCCCACAAAGGTCGGCCGTCGCTTCGAAAGAAAATAAACAGAACCGTTTGCTCCAATTTGCCATACCGATGACGTCCTCCAATCTTCCTAAAAGGCCAAAGGCGTGGAGGAACGAACACTGCCGAGAGGCTAAAAAGAAAAAGAAAACGAAGCGTGGGGCATTTTAGGCGATATTCTACATCAAGCAACTATATTAATTTTGAAAATAATGA